CCCGGCCCCGCCGTCCGTGCCCTGGACCCGGAGCCGGCGGCGACCGCACTGCGCATGCGAAGCCCGGCCGGCCTGGGCTCTGCGGAGCCCCGCGCACCGGCGCGCAACTTTATTTTTTCCTGAGCGTTCCTAGAGTGACTGCATAGTGAATAGGCGCATAAACGCTCCTCCACTCCATCGCCAGCCCCACGGAGGGGGAGTGCGCCCTCTGATTCTGGCAAAGGGTCTGTCGGTGCTGGGCTGTCGCGCCATCGCGAGGGTCTCTTTCCTGTCACCAAACTGTCAATGGTTGTTGATAATTTTAAAGCAACAAAAACCCTACACAAGGGCCGGGAGATAGCGCCGTAGAATAAGCGCCTGCCTGGCAAGCGCAGGGTCCTGAACTCAATCCTCGGTATTAAAAAAAAAAAAAAAAAAACACAAAGTCGACATTTGTGTGTTTGTGTGCAAGCCCGCACGCAGACTGAACATGGGGCCATCACACTGGGCAACAGTCCAGTCCTTTCTTATTTTTTCAGACAGGATCTTGCTCAATTGCTAAATTGCAAGTTCCCCAGGCTGGACTTGAACTTGCTATCTTCTAGCCTCAGTTTCCCAGAGTGCGGGCTCTACAGGCATGTGCCAGCACACCCAACTTTTCTTCTCCTTGAAACATCTGATAGGAGCTGTGCCCCACCATGCTGAAAACTAACCCCAGTGGGGCCTTTGGAGGCCATCAGGCTGTGATGGGAAGTCCTTAGCAATGGGACTGGCCAGGGAGATAGCTCAGTTGAATAAGTGCTTGCCAGGCCAGTGCAAGGTCCTGGGTTCTAATCTCTGGTACCACCAAAAAAAAAAAAAAAAAAAAAAAAAAAAAAAAAAAAAGGGGGAACCTTAGCAATGGGACTAATGCTCCTACAAAAGGACCAAGAAGGTACCCTTGTCCAGTCCACTAGCTGCAAGGCGTCATCTACCAGCTGGACACAATCTGCTCATGCCTGGATCCTGGACTTTTTAGCCTCCAGAAGTGTGGAAAATAAATTTCTATTCCTCATAAACTACTCCATTATCTTAGGAAAAGTTCACAGCAATGGTTTCCTGGGCAAAACATAAGCCCGGGTATGACAGATGGGGGACTTAGCTTCCTGTGGTTCTCTAAAAGGATAGCTCCAAGGACTTATACTGTCGCAAACCAACTGTTAAATATTGCTGAAACTGCTTTCAGTTGATTAACCAGGTATAAAGTTCCATCTTATTCTTTAACTCCTATTTATTTTATCACTAGTAGTAACATTTTTTCAGATTTGTATTCTAACTGGAATATCTGATACTTTGTATTTTGCCCTGTGTTCTGGGGAATTTCTTCATTTTGAAAAGAAACTTAATTTTTCAAGAGCTCTTGTTTGTTCTCTAACCTTTGTTTGTTTGTTCATTTTGTGGCCAGCTCAGTCCACCCTGGGGGCAGGCCTGGCATGGCATGGGTGCTGGGGATTGAACCGTGGTCCATGCACGCTTGCCTAAGCTTGCCTAAGCAGGCGCTTTAGACTGCTGAGCTATCTTGCTGGCCCAGTTTTCTAGTCTTGGACCAGGGATCAAACTTAGGACCTTGCACTTGCCAGGCAGGTACTGTGCTGCTGAGCTATCTCCCTGGCTTTTTTTTTTTTGGTACCAAATAAATGTATAATTTACAACATGTAGCACCATCTCTTTTGGGGTACAAATGTCTATAGAAACTTTATCCATCACAACCAAAAACTGAAAACTCAAACATCCAGGTAAACAGATAAACTAATTATGGCATGCCCACGTGGTGAAATACTACTCCACAATGAAAAGGAACAAAGCACAAGAGTCTGCAGGGATATGATGAATATGGAAACTTGCTCAGTATGACTAAGACAGATACACAAAAGTATGTACTCTTGCAGGAATCTAATCAGAAAATCTAGGGGCCGGGGAGATGGCTCTGTGGAATAAGCACTTCCCTGGCAAGTGCAAGGGCCTGAATTCAATCCCCGGTTCCGCAAAAAAAAAAAAAGAAAAGAAAAAAAAAGAAAATCTAGAGACAATATATAGTGGGACAGGGGTGAAAATGCAGAGTGACTGTCAGGGAGCATTTTGTGGGGAGTCCTATCCCTTCTCTGTGGTCATAGTTACATAAGTGTGTTTCCAGTTAGGGAACAAAAGACTGGAGTGGTTCCAGGCAGCTTAGTACTTACACAGACTGCAAAAGCAAGACTGGCACGGCAGCAGCTTCTAAGGATACTGGACAACACTGAGCTGCTGGGAGGAGGTGGCAGGAGGAGAGGTGGAAGGTCTCTGACTAGAAGGCCCTCTGAGCTATGGTCAGGCAGGTCTGTGGGCTGTGACTGCATTGGGGGAGGTAGCAGGAACTCGAAATGGCCCAGCACAGTTGTCCTCAAGGTAAGAGGCTCCGCCCTGGCTGCTGGTTTCCCGTGCTCCGGGAGGGTCCTGCTGTAGTGCAGGGAGACTCGCAGAGCTTCCTACCAAGGCTGGGATCACACGCTGGTCCAGCCTCCCCTATCTGAGGTGGGAGGTCAGTCCTTAGGGGCCGGGCAAGCTCTGCAGGGGGCTGTGTCCCAGCTGTGTCCTTCGGCACCATCTCTGCCACTCCAAATTTCATCTGTCCTGCCAAGAATTATTTTCAAATAGTTCCAGGAGCTTAGTCCTTCTTATCAGATAGCTAATGAATTGTCCAGAGGGGAGTTCGGACCAAACCCTTCTATTTGTCAGAAGCGACATCTGAGGATAGCAACCACGACGCATTTTAAAGGTGCTCCACAGCCAGGCCCCAGCTGGAGCCAAGCCAAGTCCCAGATGTCCCTGGAGTCCACCTTACTGCCACCCCACCTTTGCTCCAAGTTGGGACACTGCTTGACCTTTCCTGACTCATGAAGCCAGGAGCAGAAATGTTGGCAGCCACCTAGGTCCTCGCGCTGGCCAGCAGTAGCCCAGCGCAGCGTAACAGTGCATTTCCTCTGGTTGTGTCCAGTATAGCAGGAAGAGAAGCGCCGAGTCCGACCCACAACTTCTAGCCCTCATTTGCCAACACAGGTTCCTGGAGTCTTATTTCCTTGAAGTAGGTGTGAGCAGGAAGAGGAAGAGGAAAGAAGCCTCTGAAAGTCCTTTCCATGATTTGTTGATGCTGCCACCTGTTGGTAATGCAGAGCACTACATGCCCAGTGAAGATCCCAAGCCGTTCCACAGCTGAGCACTTGGTTAATAAGGCAGGCAGAGCCCTCATCTGATTGGATGTACCTGGGGCATTCAATGTGCACCCAGGACCATGTGGGACCCCAAGAAGCTCAACTCCCAACTGCTGCACCTCTGGGAATTAATGTCCCAAACCTGGAAAAATGGCAGTCAACACCCAGAGTATTCTTGGGAGGAGACTGGCGGCCCAGCCAGGCTACCACCAGGATGGGTGTCAGCCAGATCACGTGCCCAGGAGTTCTCTTTGCCCCTCAGCTGTATGGCTGGGGCCCAGGCACAAGGGTTGGGTTTCTTTGGTCCAGTGTGGTAGGACCACTGGGCCTGGTTCTGGCCATGGCCCTGGCTAGACCACCATGTCCTGTGTGATGGTGACTGTTGCTTTACAGCGCTGGCCAGCTGGTTGGTTCCACTGATGTTCATGGTCAAAGGGTGTCATCCCATTTTCCAGGGGGATCCCCATTGGACATGGATGCCCCTGGATCTGGTGCCTAAAGCTCCTTCTCCTCCAGTTCTGCTGCTGCCAGGTACGCCAGCCACTTGGCAGTGGAAGGTATTGAGCCCCTGATGGCAGGGGTCATCAAAGCCAAGCACAACAGCTACACCTTGGCCCACTGGGGGAGACCCCTGTCCCTTGCAGAATTGGAATCTGTCCTCCCTGTGGCCATGTAGTGCAGCTGTTCAGTGTTCACCATTGGTCATTAACTCAGCTGACCTTGAGTCAGGTCCACATTCTCAGGGGCCTCAATGTCAAGGACCTCAATAAACCCAAGGTGCTGGGACAGAGCTGCCTCTGAGTCATCCAGATCCAGTTTATTTCTTTCTTGAAATTTCAAAAAAAAAAAAAAAAGAAGAAGAAGAAAGAAAGAAAGAAAAAGAAAAAGAAAAGAAATTTCCCTCTGGCGATAAATGTTTGATCGGCCAAACTCACATCCCTGGTGTCCTCCCCACCCCCAGCCCCAAGCCACAATGAAGATATCAGGGTACAAACACATCCCAAACACTCAGTGATCACCAACTCCCAATACAAGGCAGAAATTGAGCTGAGCATACAGGAAGATGCTTCTAATCCCAGCTGTTGGGAAGCTTAGGTAAGAGAATCTCAAACTCGAGGCCATCCTGGGCTATATAGGGAGTTTCAGACCAGCCTCAGTCTATAGAGTAAGATCCTCAAAGGAGGAGTAAGAAGAGGAAGAGGAAGAAAAAGAAGAAAAGGTAATAAGTGCCATGCTGGTGGGTGCATGCCTCAGAGTTCTCAGATAGGCACCCTGCATCCCAAAACCCACAGGTGCCTTTGCCTGAGGATGTGTCCTTCTGTGGCTCCCATGTCATTGTCATTTTTCATTGGAGAGTCTCAATGAATGATTTGGCCTGAGAGAGCAGTTTTTTATTTCTTTTTCTTTTTAGAACTGGGGATTGAACCCAGGGACACTCTACCATGACCTGCAGTGCCAGCCCTTTACATTCTTTTATTTTGAAACAAGAGCTGTCTAAATTTCCTGGGAGGGACTCAGTCTTTCCACCTCAGACTCCCAGAGTGCTGGGATTTCAGGTGTGTGCTGCCATGCTCAGCTTTGGGAGAGTAGTTTCTGAGGCTGCGGGTTGTTCGGGGTCCCATTCAAAGGTGGGTACCTCTTGAGTAGCCCTATGCAGTGGGCTGAGCAGAGCAAGCTGCTGAAAAGACTGCGTGTTGAATTCTGTACCTCTTTTGAGTTCAAGGGTTTTGTTTGCTGTAGAGGGATGCAACCCAAGAGCCTCATGCATCCTAGGCACGTATGTACTCTAACACTGTGCTACACCCTCAACCTTTACTTTTTTAAAAAAAAATGGAGACCAAGTCTCACTAAGTTGCCAGATTGGAACTTGCATTCTTCCTGCCTCAGCCTCCCAAATAGCTGGGTCACAGGTGCTCCCCCTGGCCCAGCTGCTGCACATGCAGTACTTGTCTAGAGAGTACTGGTTATTTTCCTACATGGAGGTTACTACCCATAACAAAATACCAAGAGATTTCAGGTGCAAATCACAGGGGGCAGCAGGTGGCCCCGTGGCCTTGTTGTAAAGTAGTACCACAAAGCAAGCTGACAAAGGTGAGCTGATTTTTACCCCCTGGATGTCATGGGATGATCACAAAGGCATTGCTGGGTCTGCCTTCACGTATCAGGTGGCTTAAGCCTGTGCAAAGAGCTCTGTGCTTTGTGTAATCCACGGGTGCCTTCGGCAGTGGGCCTTTTCCCTGGCCATTCCGGACTATGACGTGGAGGTACTTTGTCCTTTGTTTCCCTATCCTGAGTCCCTTCATCAGGATGGTAGTTCCTCCACTTGCCTGGGTTGCTCCCAGGTTCCTCTTGGTCAGACTACTTGTCCCTACCCTAATTACCACTCCCCAGTCAGGATATCTCCCTCATTGTAAGGAATATCCCCTACAATGGACAGCATTATACACATTTAAAACATCTACTTGGGGCTGGGGAGATGGCTCAGTGGAATAAGCGCTTCCCTGGCAAGTGCAAGGGCCCGAGTTCAATCCCCGGTTCCACCAAAAATCAATCAATCAATCAATCAATCAATCATCTACTGTTCCAGGCATGGTGATGCATGACTGTAATCCCAGCACTCAGGGGGCTGAGGCAGGAGGATCTCTACAAGTTCAAGGTCAGCCTGAACTACACAGTAAAACCCTGTCTCAATAAATGCATGCATGCATGCATGCATGAATGAATAAATAAATGAATATTCCTAGGGTACATATGGCCCCACCACTTGGTATATAGTAGTTCAAAGGAACTCACCCCTAAACTATATTGATCCAATGACAGAGTTACTTATAAATCTTTTAGGCAGGGCTGTGAGCACATCTCATTATCCTGGTGGCCTGTGGCACAGCATCTATGAGAACAGAGGAAACCTAAACTATGAGTGCTCATTGTAGGAGTCAACCTGGCCGATTAGGGCACAAGGTCCCTGAGGAGGCGGCCGGAGCCTGTATACGGGGAGGCACTGCCCTCACTGTGGCCAGGGCCAGGGGAAGCAAACACAGAAGGTAACTTCGGACAGTCTGGACTCCTGTCCTGGACACCAGAAGTGCAGGATGCTTGGCCTGGAGACTTAAACTAGCAATCTCCTGCCTGGGCTCTCAGGGTTTTGGCATCGAACCCAGGGTTACTTACTGCACGGGCAGCTCTGGTTCTGAAGTCTTGGGATTTGCCTGGGTCCCTCTACCAGCACCCAGGGGCTCCAGCCCCAGGCCACTTGGCATGGGCTTTTCTCAGCCTCCACAATCGCATGTGCCGTCTCCCTCCTGTGTCGTGCACATATCCTATGGTTGTCTCCCTGCAGATCCCTAATGCGGCACCTCAGGCACTGTAGCCCCCACAGCCTAGTGACTGCATGGTGCCTCCACTTTTCTCTGTCTGTAAAGGGGGAAGGGACCGAGCCGAAATCAGTGATCAAATTCTCCCAACAGCAGAAGCTCAGCTGGGGCCATCCTGCCTCTGCACAGGACAGTGCAAAACTGCCCCATTAGGATTGAGATCCTTCTTTTTTTTTTTTTCAGAGCCAGGGATTGAACTCAGGCCCTTTGCGCTTGCCAGCGCAGTGCCTATTCAACTGAGCTATCTGCCCAGCCCCAGGACTCAGATCCTTAAGACCCATTGCCATCCAGAGCCCCACGGAAGACTACCTTGTGGGCAGACACCATCACTGAGGTTGCCAGGGTCTCCCCTTTAGTGGCCGTTTGCGCATTATCTTGACTCTTGATCTCCACTATGAATCCAAGCTGAGGTCACAGTGGACTAAAGGTGACAGCCTATCCCCTCCCCAGAATGTTCTGAGAGCACTTGTCAGATGGTGGGGCTGAGCTTGGTGAAGCCGCTGTTCCATTATACTGTATAGACCTGCTGTGACAGCCCTGTTTCCCTTTATATTTCCCTCCTCTGGATTCATGCTGTTGGTTGTTGGTTGTGGTCCAAAGCAGCTTGGGACACTGGGTCAGTCGCAAGCAGCTTAGTGACTTATGTACCTGCTCGGCACCTAGCCCACCAGTCAGGCAAGCGTGCTGCTGTGGATTCCCTGGGCTTTTGGGCAAATGTCTTGTCACCTTCCTGTCTTGCTCCTGTAAGCCTGGGTCTCCCTGTGTTCCCGAGAGACTGACTGCCATTCACCACCCTGTCCCTTTGAAGCAGCCCTCTTGGACTCTGCTCTACAGCAGCAAATGCCTCAAGGAATGATCTGGCCACCCATCTTGGGAGGACTCTTTCCTTCTTGGAAATTTAGTCACTTGTACTTCGTTCTACCTCTCTACATTCTTTTACAAATAAAATCAACTCCCTTATGCCTGTGCTTTCCCAGCTACAGCAATAGGGGCCAGAGATGGCCTGTGGAGTCTTACTACAACTGCCCAGATGCAGTTTTTAGTTCTTACATCTGGCAGAGATACGATTTCACTTAGTGCTTTCATTTACTCTACCCCCACTTTTATTTCCCCCTTTTTACTTGTTTGATACTAGATTTGAATCCAAGGACCTCCTGCATACTGAGCCTGTGTTCTACTACTGAGCTATAACTCCAACCCCCAATTTTTTTTTTTTGACACAGTCTCATTATGTAGTATAGGCTGGCCTTCAACTCACCACGATCCTCCTCCTTCAGCTACCTCCTTAATGTAGGGATCAGGGCATGCACCACACCTGGCTCCCAATTTCCTCTTTTAAAACAAGGTATTGGGCCAGGGAGATAGCTCAGTAAACCAAGTGCTTGCCTGGGAAGCGCAAGAGCCTGAGTTTAATCCCTGGTTCCAGAAAAAAAGAAAAGAAAAAAAAAAAAAGTATTGAGCTATAATTTCTCTTTGAGGTAAAACCTCTTCCTGATTTTTTCAAGGGATGGCCATTTTATTTCATGGTTCATTTTTTAAGAGTGTGTGTGTGTGTGTGTGTGTGGCCAGCTCAGCCCACCAGGGGGTGGGGCTGGCTGGCATGTGGTGCTGGGGGATTGAACCGCCGTCCCTGTGCTTTGCTAAGCTTGTTCTAAGTAGGTGCTTTAGACCACTGAGCCATCTCACCAGCCCCTCCCCTTTAGTTTTCTGAGACACAGTCCCACTATGTAAACCAGACTGACCTTGAATGTGCAATCCTCTCGCCTCAGCCTTCCAGGTACTGAGGTTACAGGAGTGCAACCCCATACCTCCATACCTACATACCTACTACCGAGTGGTTCTTATTGCTTGTGTTCTTACATTCTTTTTTTTTTTTTTAATATTTATTTATTTTTATTTATTACATTTATTTATTGTGTGTGTGTGTGGCCAGCTCAGCCCACCAGGGGGCAGGGCTGGCTGGCATGTGGTACTGGGGATCGAACCGCGGTCCCTGTGCTTTGCCAAGCTTGTTTCAAGTAGGTGCTTTAGACCACTGAGCCATCTCTCCAGCCCCTGTTCTTACATTCTAAGTCTTTCCTGGTTCTTGTTTGGCAGTTCAGCTCCAGGCTACTGTATCTTCTTGACCTGCACTGTCTCTGCTGGGAAGGTTTCAGAAGGACTTGGGGGGGAGAGGGCGAGAGCTCCCCCAGCCCCACTCAGCACCCAAGAAGCGCTCTGGTAAGATGAACTCCTTGAAGCTTTTCCCTCTTGAGCCACATCAGTCTTCTTAGCCCTTCCTTCTCTCCCCAAATTTGACGTGACTTGTCCAAATTCATAGTGTCAGCCAGTCTCTGACACTTAGGACCCAAAGGCTTTCACTTGTTAGTTTTCAGACCCTCACGATGGACGTCTCCAAGCCCTAAACTCCCCTTTCTCCCTCCAGTTCTGTTCTTCTTGCTGCCATCCTGTTTCACAGGACAGTGTCAGCATTTGGCCAAAGCCTGGCCATCACCCTGAGCTCCCAGCCCCTGTGGGCTCATACCTCCAGCTGCTACCCAGTGAGCTCTGCCTGCCCCTCATGCCGGCACCCACCCAGGCCCTGCCTGCCCCCTTGCCCTCCAGAAGGGCACGACGCCAAGAGCACTTGATGGGCCTGAGTGGTTTTATTTTTTCTGCCTAAAGAAGGACACTCCAGCAGGAGCAGAGTCCAGAGCAGACCTGGGGCTGCCCCTGCAGCAGTGGGGGTGGAGGAGCCCAGGACGGTGGGGTGCTGTTTCTCAGTATGAGCTGGAGCTGCACAAGAGGAGGTACACTTTGGCCTGCAGGAACCCCAGTCTCACCGATGCCGCTTCCGGATACTCTGCAGCTCCTGGCAGATGGTGCTGAAGCTAGGCCTCTGCCCAGGCTCATAGGCCCAGCACTGCTCCATGAGCCGGAACACAGCATCAGGACACAGCTCTGGGCAGGGCAGGCGACCACCTGGGAGGACAGACACAGCACTGAGCATGAGGAGGGCCCCCTGAAGCAACAGGAGCTGCTCATGACATGCTGCCCCCAAAGAGCCACTCTTGTTTATACCACAAGAAGAAGTCTGGCTTCTATTTTGCACCTCCCCAAACGCTGGTTAGGTGACTGCAAGGCTCAGTGTTTCCATCTGCAAAAGGGACACACTGATCCCACTTATATGTGGGAAAGAGCAAATGAACTAATGTGTGGCCTGGTATAGACAAGTGCTCCATAATCCACAACTCTCTCTTTTTTGGGATTTTTTTTTCTTTCTTTTCTTTTTTTTTTTTTTTTTTGCGGAACCAGAGATTGAACTCAGGCCCTTGCACCTGCAAGACAAGTGCTTATTCTACTGAGCTATCTCCCCGGTCCAAAAGTGATTGTTTTTGTTTGTTTTGTGGTACTCAGGGTTGAACTTAGGACCTGGTGCTTGCCTGACAGGTGCTTATGCCACTGAGCTATATCCCCAGCCCCCTTGGGATTTTTTTTGGGGGGGGTACTGGGGACTGAACCCAGGGCCTTCACACTGAGCTACGTTCTTCTTTCCTTTTTATATTTTTTGGAGACAGGGTCTCTCTAAGTCACTAAGCTGCTCAAGCTGGGCTCAAACTTTCAATCCTGCAGTCTCAGCCTCTCATAGAGCATGCCACCATACCTGGCTCAGAGGATGAACATTACTTGGCCCCAGTGGGATGGGTGGAAACCCAGGGAGAGGGAGAGGTGTGGCCCAGGCTGCTGCCATGTGCACAGGTCCCTTACCCTTCTCCACAAACTCCCGTGTCTGCTGGTTGCTGAGGTTGGGGTACGGCGGGGCCCCCAGGCTGAAGGTCTCCCAAAGCAAGATACCAAAGCTCCACACATCACTCTCAGAGGAATAGCGGCCTATGGAGGGGTGAGACAGGATGAGGGAGCTGTCCCTGTCACCCTGCCCACTGGCCTCCTGGGTGCAGCCCAGGCTGGATGAAGATCAGGTACCATAGTTCAGGGCTTCAGGGGCAGTCCACTTCACAGGGACTTGTCTGAGGCCCCCTGAGGCTGCGTAGATCCCATCAGCCTCCTCCCGGGACATCCCAAAGTCACTGATCTTCAAGACATTCTTCTCTGTCACCAGGCAGTTCCGAGCAGCCAGGTCACTGGTGGATCAGAACAGGGGACCTCTTCAGCCAACGTCACCTGCCTGGTCTGGGCAGCGCGACCAGACAAAGCCAGAACCAAGGTGCCAGTGCCTGGGGCACCCTGGTCCACAGGGGCTGGAGGTGACACCCAATGCCACGCCCCGGCCTGCTCACCGGTGGATGCAGCACTTGCTCTCCAAGTACTCCATGCCTGCAGCCGCGTCTCCCACCATCTGCAGCAGTGTCTTCATGCGAAGGCGGGCTCCCTCAGTCCGCAGGAAGGTCAGGAAGTCGCCCCCTAGAGGGGGCAGCCTTGAGCCTCAGGGACACCTGATGGCCTTTCCCACCCTGCCACGGGTCCCCCACCTACCCTGCACCAGCTCCATGACAATGTAGATGGGCTGCTTCTGAGTGCAGACACCAATAAGCCGCACGATGTTGGGATGGCTGTACTGCTTCAGGATCCTGGGGATGTCACTGCTCAGCTCCCTGCTTTCTCGCCCCTGCCTCCCGCCAGGCACCCCAAGGGCATGAGAAGGGCCTCAGAGATTTGGGAACAACAGCCTGGCCTCAGAGGAAATCAGCCCTGGCTGTGTGATGGGCTGGACCCTGGGTAGCCTTGGCTCTATGGGAGACAGAGTGTGAGGGGGCTGGGAGCGTTCAGAGCCACGACCAAAGCCAAGTCTTGGTGCTCAGCCACACGCAGCGGAACACTCTGGCTCAGAATCTCTGGTAGTCATCAATTTGCCACTCACCTGGCTTCTTGCAGAAACTTAGCCTTGAGGTCAGGAGGAAGCGTCTCCCGGCAAGACTTCACTGCCACTGGTGTGTTGTCAGCTCGCAGCCGCCCACTGAATACTTCGCCAAAGTTGCCCTGAAATGGTCTTGGGCTCCTATCAGAGCTTCTGGAGCCTCAGTCTTGCCCATGCTCAGGGGACAGTCCCCGGCCCCCAGATCTCTGTGTTCAGTGTCCGAGCTTAGACTTGCTCCCCTGGCTCTCTAGGACTTTGTCCTGGTGGGCAGGAAAGTCACCAGCATGCCACATCTTCAGAGACAAGTGAAAAAGTGGGCGCCAAGGCCACTTTCCTTTGCATTTGAAAAGCACTCTAAGACTTAGGAAAGCAACTTCCTTCCTAGGCAGGCAATGTACAGCTCACAGGAGGGCAGGAGCTGGGGTGCCCGTGATGTTTGGGGCAGGTACTCCATTCCTGGGGGATGGCTAGTGACAGTGGCTAGACAAGGAGCCAGAGGCACAAGAAGGAACTGCCTGCCACACCAAGGTGTCTCTGCATGGGGAGCCTCAGGTAGGACCTGGAGCAAGGAGCAGGGAGGAAAAGATGAGAACTCACCCGTCCAATCTGCTCACCCAACACCAAATCCTCATGGTTTAGCACCCACTTGTCCTGGGAAGAGGAGTCAGAGCAGCACAGTGGGTATGGAGCAGGGCCCCCAGGCTCCAGGGAGGGCTGCCCCTCTTCCCACCAAGAGGTGCCAGTCGTTCTCTTCCTGGAGCCTCTGTATGAGGCTATGTCTGATGGGGTTTGGTTCAGTCAGAACCGCACTCCCCTAATATGATGCCAGGGACGAGACAGGTGCCCCACCAGGACAGCACCACCCCGAATGTGCAGTCACACTCTGCATTTGGATTTTAGATAACATGTGCCCTTCTCGCTGCAGTCCTAGGGGGCCCTGATCCATGGTCCCCATTGACTGTGGCCACAGGCTCACCTTGGGGACTGCCCTATACAGGACAACACCGCTCTTCTTGGTAAGGGGCTGCTGCGAGCTAAGTAGATGGTCAATGAGCAAAGGAATGCTGGGGAAGCCGTCACCTTCCAGGCGGTACAGGTTCTGTGGAAAGAAGGTTAGCAGTCTCCTTGCTGAGGAGAGGGCAGGGAGAAGGGTCTGCCTGAGACAAGGCAGAGAGACCTACAGAACGGGCACAAGCATGTGACATGTGACAACCGAGCCACCTTGTCATAGGTGAGGACACATGCTAAGCCTTTCTCCTGCTCCAGAGATGCAGGTGTCCTCTGGCTGCATCCATCAGGCATAGGGAGGTATCCGAGATGGGCCAGTCACTCCCTGCCTTCTTGAGGTCATCCTCTGGGGTAGGGAGGGGAAGGGCAGGCTGGGGCCCCACTCACGTCGGAGGACTGGATCATGAAGTGGCGTGGCAGGCCGTCCCACAGCACCGACAGCACGTACTCTTGCTTGCCCTGGCTCTCCCGCACCAGGAAGTCCCCAGAGTTTGTAAGCAGCTCAGCCGCCTCTGCCCGTGGGATGGCCCCGTGGTACCAGAGCTGCTCGTGCAGGGGCTTCTGCACTTCAGGAATCAGCTGCAGCGGTGGGGGGAGCTGGACATGTGTAGGGGAAGTGGTTAGAGTCACTCAGGGGAGACAACTGGATCCTGGGTCTCTCTGTCTACCCCACTAAGTCCTCATAGCCCCCCTGAGTAGCATACAGAACCATCTGTGTACCTTCTCAAGTTCCCTGGAATAGGAAGAGTAGAGGGACAACCAAGGCCACTAGTCCCTGCGGCACCCAGAGATGGAGAGCACAGAGGGACCCAGGGTGACCGGTTGGAAGCATAGACAGCCTGGACTCCCAGGGAGTGCTGCCCCAATGAAACAGCCTGAAGGTCCCTAGAGCATTCCTATGACTCAATCTAAAACTCCAAGGGATGTATCTGAGACCCCGCACCTGGCCCACCCCTCAGGTCCAGGCCCCAGGTTGGGCACCACTCACCGAAAACTTGGGGCGGAAGATTCCTGAGAAGTGGCTCTTGATGATCTCCAGTGTGGGCGTCCTTCCCCCCTCTCGTTCCTGCTCCTGAGGCCAGGGACACACGTCAGCGGGTGGCCAGGCTTGGGGAGGGGGAGGGCGAAAATGAGGAGCACAGCCCCTGAGCACACAGCTGCGGTGGACATGGCTGGCGGGCAGGGGTGGCAGCACTCACCGAGGAGGAGGTGGAGTGGCGGTCGTCCTGCAGAAGCAGCACCGCTGGGGGCTCACCAGGGCCCAGTTGCTCCAGCTTAGTCTGCAGTAGCTCCTGCTGGGCCTGCAGCTTGGCCTGGCTGCACAGTGCGACCTGCAGCCCCTGCAGGGCCTCCTGCAGCACCTGCCTCTTGCCCAGCAGCTGCACCCTGCAGGCCAGCAGGCAGGCAGTGAGAGACCAGTCTGGGTCTGTAGCTGCAGGGGAAGCTGGCAGGTCGAGGGGCCAGAAAGGGTGCAGGGGACCCACTCACCGCTCCCGCGGGTGGGTGTTCTGCTCCTCATTCTGGAGCTCTCGCTGTAGCTGGCTAACCACTTCCTGCCGGCTTAGTACAGTGTTGGTGGCCCCTGCCAGGTCATCTGTCACTGAGGTCAGCCTGCAACCAAGGCAGGGTCTTGTTAGAGCCACAACCCCCACGTATCCTGTAGAACCAAGCAGGCCAGGTATCTGCCGAGGCTCAACACACCACAGCTCGCTCCCCATCTGCCCACATAACACCCATGGTCTGCAGAAAACCCCAGAGCCCAGGTGCCAGGCCGCCACCCACGTGTGCTGCACGCTCTCCACGGTCAGCTCGTTCAGCTGCAGCTCCCCAGGCTCCAGCAGCTCACCCTCCTCAAGCAGTGACTCATCAAAGGTGACACAGGGTGGGACATCTGGGGTGGAGCTAGAGATGGACAGGGTCCTGTCAGTGAAGAGGCCAGCAGGCCTGGCCCAGGGGGTGCAGGGGTGGATGTGCTTACCCATACTGTCGTAGGAAACCCTGGTACTCGGCCTCAGGCTGGATGCGGGCCGCAGCGGCAGCCATCTCCTGGTGAATGGCCATCACCTCATCCTGCACCAGGCTGCTAATCTCTAGGTACTCCTGCAGGATCTCCTTCCTGTCCCCCAACATAGGGCCACCAGTCAGGGGGGGCCTTGGGCTGGGCAAGGGGAGCAACTCAGCTAGGACACTGCCTTTGACCTCACCTCACCCAGGTGACAGCCACACGACCTGAGGCTGAGGATGTGTCCATGGGTGTGCTGGATCCTATAAGGATCCGGTGGGATGCTACGTACAGTGTCTGGCAGCCCAGAAGTGCTCAGTGCACGGGAGTTGCAGTTGTCCCTGCCCTGTAGTCAGCCCGAGAGCTGGGGGTAGAGCCCCCATAACGGTATGAGCTACCAATGTGCTGTGACCCTGATACACCCCCAGAAGCAGCAGTCCCCTCAGCTCCTCTGTGCTCCAATCTCAGGCACACGACTACTAAAAGTGATTTGTGGAACACAGAGCATGGATCCCTTAGACACCTGACCTCCCAGCTGAAGCACATGCTCCTGCTTTGGCTGTTGAAATGTCTTCCTTTCACAGCCATCTTGACATGAGCTAATGGCAACTTCCGAATACTCCAGGGAAAATCTGCGAGGCAGGCAGGCTTGCTTGTGTCTCAGTCTACTTTGAATCCACACATTAAAAAAAGCCTCCCAGCACTGCCTTCCAAACACACCCTGGACCTGACCTGATAGCCTTTCACCTATTTGCTGTACCCTAGTCCAAGTGGCCACGGCCTGTCTCCTGGATTCCCACAACAGCCTCCTTCCTGTCTGGCCTCCCTACCTCTGTCCTTGGGCCCTGAAGTCTGTCTGCAACACAAAAGCCAGACTCGAACTTTCAATCCTCCTGCCTCGGCCTCTGGAGAAGCTGAGATTACAAGCGTGTGTCACTGCCCCGTGGATGCTTCCGATTTCATTTTCTTTCTTCCTCTTTCCACTAGCATAGATCACCGAAGACAGATGTTGACACCTGCATTCCACTCTGCTCTATCCTAGAGCCTAGCATGGTGCTAAATAAATGTCAAACAATCCTGTGACAACAGGGGTGTGACCCATACCTATAATCCCAGCTACTGAGGAGGCTGGGGCAGGAGGATAACAAGTTTGAGCCCATCCTGGGTCATTTAATGAGATTTTGTCTCAAAATAAAATTTTAAAAGGTCAAGGAAAAGGGATCAACACACTCTTGGGCTTAATCTCCAGTACCAAAAACAAAACACTCTCCCTACCAAGCACCCTGAGTTAAGGGGCATTGGCATGTTAATTTAGGTGTAAATAGGTGGACTGGTTCTGTCCTCAGCCTGGGACTCATTTTCCTATGACCATGCAGCCAGCACTTGGGCCCAGCTGAAAGTTCTGGGTAGGGGGTGGGGCTCACAGCACAAGCGCCATCTCCTCGTGCAGGTCCTGCAGGGACTGCAGCAAGCTGGGCAGCATGAGCTGGTGGTGGTGCTGATGATGCAGCTGCGCAGCCCGCACGCCCAGCACGTAGCGGTTGTGGTGGGCAAAGAGCTTCCACAGGCTGCGCACGTACTTGTCCTTGGCCTTGTCTCGGTCTTTGTCTGCCAGTAGGGAGGTGCAGGAGGAATGGGGTGTCAGCACCGTGGACAGGTCAGCAGTTGTTTGAGCTCCCCTCCCTACAGGTGAGGGAAGCTACAGACCTTTGCTGGCCTCCTGGTACTTGCGCCGAGCTTGGGTGCTGTCCCGGGCCAGGGCTCGATACTGGCTCTTCAGCTTCTCAATGTCCTGGTTGTGAGTCTGAGGGGACAGAGGTAGCCCGTGTCAGGAGGCAGGTCCCCAAGCATGGGAGAGTCCTCCATGTGAGGCCGTCCTCCCAAAAAGGCCTAGAGACTTAACAGAGCTGGGATGTGAAGTTGAATGTGATAGCCCATGACCGTAATGCCAGAACTCTGGGACGCAGAGGCAGGAGGATCACAAGTTCAAGCCTATCCTGGGCAACTTAGTGATTTCGTCTCAAAATAAATTTAGAAAGTAGCTGGGGATTAAGCTTAAAAAAAATGCTCTGACAGAATTACAGACAGTTGGCTGGCAGGGAGCAGAGAGGTGGTCAGTGCAGATGGGGCAGCTCCAGGTGTGGGTGGACTTCGTGGCCACTCTGAGCTCCAACAAAGCATCCTATGTTTGTTTTGCATGTTCCCCTTGCCACCACAATGAGATCACTTTCTTAACAAAGGGGCCCCACCTGTTCTTTTTGCACTCTGCCCTGCTCCAGAGTCAGGCAAATCATGTTCCTGGCAATAAGAAGAAGAGATGGCAGCACTATCATTCCTGTTCTGTGCACGTGCAGGGGCACATTCACAAGCTCTGTGCCACTCCTCTGAACCTCAGTTCCCCGATCTGTAACTAAGCTAAAAGCATAGACTAGACCAGCTGTAACCAGTCTTTCTTTTTCTTTTTAGGTTTTGGGGATTGAACCTATGGCCTTCACACTGAGCTACATCCTCAGCTCTTTTTATTTTTCATTCTGAGTCTTGCTAAGTTGACTAAGAGGTATTCAAACTTGTGGTCCTCCAGCCTCAGGTGCTGGGATCACAGAGGTGTGCCACTAGGTTTGACTTCAATTTAAAAAAAAAATTTTTTTTTCCCCCAGAACCAGGGATTGAACTCAGGCCCTTGAGCTTGCCAGGGAAGCGCTTATTCCACTGAGCCATCTCCCTGGCCCCCTTTTAAATTTTTTAAAAAATATTCTAATTATTTATTTGGTACAGCGTCTCACTATGCAGCTCGGATTCCTAGTGATCCTCCTGTCATGGCCTCCCCAGTGCTGGGATTACAGGTGTGCACCCCCACACCCAGTTTTGGTAGCTGGAATGGTATACCCGGGGTTCCAGGGCCTGCACAGCATTTGGTACAAGGGATCAAACCTGGGTCCTTGAGCTTTCCAGGCAGGCACTTAGACCACTGAGCTATCTCTCCAGCCCTCCAATCTCCTTAAAGGATCAAATAGTAAATACTTTAGGCCTGTAGGCCACAGGGTCTCTGTTGCAATTACTCACTTCTGTCCTTGTAGCTCAAAAGTAGCCAGACTATGACATGAAAATTGGCAGGCAGGATTGTGTTCTCAAACTTTATTACAGAAGCAGGGGCTGGGGAGATGGCCTCGCTCGGTGGAATAAGCGCTTCCCTGGCAAGCGCAAGGGTCTGAGTTCAATCCTCGGTTCCACAAAAAGAAAAACAAAAAACTTTACAGAAGCAGCAAATCCCTGAATTAGATGATCTTTGGGAAGAGGTGCGTAGGCCAGGATGGCCACCAGGGGTCGCTGTGGGTGCATGACCAAGCCTGCTGGCAAGGGTGAAGGAGGTGGTGCCAGGCAGCTGAGGGACTGGAACACCCAGAGAAGTAAAAGTAGCTCTGAATCACACTGCCTACAACTGAGGGGCTGGGGTATTCAGACTCAAGAAGTCTGATTTTGCTTGGCGGCGGCCATGCTTCTGCTGCAGGATATGAATCTGGTAGTGTCAAAGCTGGCAGTGTCGCTGCCCCAGCTCCTCCTGAGCAGCTGAGCCTCACCCATCCTTGCACTCCCAGCGCCTGCCAGGCCGAGACAATGCTGGGACAGGGTGGCTGCAGGCCACCCCCTGAGTGGTGGGTGAGGAGGGAGGAAGTGGCCAGGAGGGAGCCGTTCACCGGTCCTAGGGCTTGGCCCACAGGCAGGAACTTGCACTTCCCCAGTAATGCTGGGCTCTTGTGCAAAGCTATTCTCCAAGGCTGCGCTGCTCAAAGAGACCACTGAGGCCCCCGCGCTGGCACCCACCTTGGTGAGCTCCTGCTGCAATTGCTGCCACTGCTCACTGTAGGTCTTGCGCATCTGCTGCCGCTCTCGGATCAGCAGGCTCAGCTTGCTCAGCGGCCCCGAGTTCAGGTCTTCCGCATGCTGCCGCAGCACTCGGCTCAGCCCCTCCGTCTGGCTGGTGATCTCGGCCCAGGACTGTGGAGTTGGAAAGACAGGGAGAAACAGTAACTCTTAAGCCTGCCAGATCTCAAGTCTCACCCCATGGGGCTCACTCAGGAAAGGACCTGGAAAGCATAGCCAGCACCAGCGGAGTTCACCTGGCTAACCGGGCTGTCCAGACCACTGTTCCGGCTCTGGCCCCCAGCATCCTGCAGGGACATATGGTGGAGCAGCCCTGCATATTCCCGGTCACTCTTGACCCGCTGGGCCATCCACTTCCTCATGCCTTCCAGCAAGCGAAGCTCAGCTTCCTGCATCTGCTGCACTGCCCCGTGGGCCTGGGGGTTGCACAGCTCCGAAGAGAAGCCCATGGTTGTGTTCTGGGGAGAGAGAAGAGGCCATCATTGGGGTAAGGCAGCAGCGCTGGGCTGGAGATGGAGGGGCATGACAAAGGGGATTGGGGGCTGTAGGGAAGAGTTGGGGATTGCAGGAGGTGGGTTGGGTCCTGCCTAGCAAAAACAGCCTGGCCCAGGGCTGGCCCTCACTGCTTCCTGGACCCTAGGCCAAGGCCTAGCCAGATGGCCTCTTTCCAGTCCTAGAGCAGGAAGAGCCTGGACCCTCCCTCCTGGGCTTCTTGCACCCAGCACTGCTATGGGGGCCTGCGCTGGGCTGGGCCTCCCAAGCTGGAAGTTCCCCTGCTACGGGGACTGTCCTGCCCTCTGCAGCATGACCTCTACCCAGCTGTTACCCCCTGGAGTCCCACCCCACAAAACCTTCTGCGACCCTGGGCCAGAGTTACCCTTGCAAGCAGCTGCTCCTGCTTCTGGGCGGCTGTGGACCAACTCAGGCCCCAACAACCGCGGCCAGTTCCTGGTTGGGTGCTTCCTCCTCCCGCGGTTTCAGTTGGCCCAGGCCAGGGCGGGCCTCGGAGGGGAAGGGGCGGGCGAGCCCCACCGCCCCTCTACCCCACGCTGGGTCACAGCAGCTTCCCTCCCTCGGAAACGGAAGGGAGGAGGAGGCCGCGGAAGAATGGCCAGGGAGAGGACCGGAGGCCTGCCTGGCAGGCACTCATTCCCCAGGGCCGGTGAGTCCTGGGACCCTGTAGAAGAGGCCTGAGCAGGCCGAGTGGGCACAGGGGTCTGGCTCAGGGCAGCCAACTCACGTTTGTGAACGATGGGGTCACAGCACCCAGTGGAGGAAAGGGGAAACCAGTACTGGCCCTCCCACCCCACTGGATTCCCCAAGGAGAGCTCCGGCGCCAGCTCTATTTGAATAAAATTTCCAAGTAAATATCCCGAGGAGAAGCCTGCTTCTCAGGCATTGTCCCCACCCCCTCCACCCAGGCAGTAGCTTTCTATCCCTAGGGAACCTGGGGCTGCCAGGGGCAGCTGAGGAGAGTGGAAGTGTGTGCTTTCCCGGGTGGGCCTCAGGCCTGAAGCTGGCAGCCCGGTCACCTCGGTCCAGGGCAAAAGGCCGGTAATTGCAGCACAGCACCCTCACTCTCCTCAGCTTCTGAAGCTGAAGGTCCATCTCCCCGTACCCTGCGCTCCCAGTCCTCTTCACAGGGCAGCCGCCTTGGCCTTCTGCCTCCAGCCCACCTCAGCCAGGACAGTCCCCCGCCACCACTGCCCACCCTCCACCCTCCACCCCCACCTTGGGATGGAGAACTGATACCATCACACTGGAGACAGAGCCTGGTTTGCATAGTCTGCACGTTTAATCACTTTAAAACCTCTAACATTATCTCGTGTCCATTAAATAGAACCAACAATGCCGGGCCTGTTTAAATTACAAGGAAAAAAAAAAATCACTGTGCACCAACCCAGTATCTTACAAAAACAGCCAGGCTGGCCACGGAAAGGGTATGGAAGAGGGGACACCATGGACAGGTGGCCAGGGACCCCAAAGGACTGGGGAGAAAAAGAAAAGGGGGCTCCTGGGGGAGAGGGGACTGATTGTCCTAATGGGAGGGGTGCAAAAGGCACATCAGAAGAGGGGTTTGGGGGGCACGGCAGGTCAGTGCTCTGTCAGGGCACAGTGTTGGAGGGGGCTTGGTGCCATCCCTGGACTTGAAGACTGGTGACCTACAAGCCCTGTCAAACAGATGTCCGCCTGCCCCTCCTGCCTTGACCCCCTTTCCTGGAGCCCACCCTGCTGGCCTGGCCCTGCAGGACACGGGACTCAGCTACTCCTCACGCCTCAGCAGCACACTGTAGCCCCTCTGCCTCAGGGCCAGGCAGCCAGGGGACAGCAGGGTGGACAGTGGGGGTGAGTGGTCCAGCTGCTACCCCCTTACAAATACAAAAAAAAAAAAAAAAATTCATCAGCATCTAAAGTGAAATCATCACAAAGTGAAAATATATCCTCAAACAGCTCCTGAGATCCCCACAGGGGAAAGCAGCATCGGGTGGGAGGCGGGAGAGGCCGGCCTGGCCACCGTCCCTGCCCACCACCCACCCAGGGGCTCTGGGACTGTGAGTGCCAACAGCCCAGGCACCCGGGGCTCAGAAAACAGGGGCTTGGGCCCTGGAGGGGAGGGTGCTGGAGAGGACAGGGTAGTCGGGACACCATCTCAGGCCTGCCTGGTGTGGCCGGGCCCATCAGAGGCAGGCAGAGGGATGGGACACCTGCCCCCCCACACCGGTGCACATCTGGAAGCACCTGCCTGCCTTGGTCCCTTCCTGTGATTGCCACTTCTGAGGACAGTGTCAGGGTTCCAAAAGCCCTTGAAGAAGTGGCCACCTCCTGTAGATCCCTCCTAGGCCAGCCTCCCTACTGTCTGGATGGGGACCATTATTGCTTTAGAGGGACAGGAGGGGCAGGAGCTGTAACCAGGCATGGTGTCCACAGAAGGGCTGTCCCTTCCCTCCACAGAAACCGCAGGCCTCAGCCAGCTGCCCCTGCCAGCTACCCCCAGGCGTGGCTCCATCCGCCTATCAGGGTGAGGGGTAAGGTAAGGGCCTCCCACCCCACCCCGGCTGACCTGGGCACGGCTCAGCAGCCAGGTGGGCCCAAAGATGGTAGGAAGCAGTCTCTGCCCCCAACCCCGTGCCTCCCAGCTGGGGCCCAAGCCCAGTCCCAAGATAAAAAAATACTTTGGTGAATTAAAAAGTGCCCGAGGAGGGATGGGCTAGAGGGGGTGCTGGCAGCGGGCTCATCAAAGGGCGCTCTGGTCCTTGATAAAGGCGGTCCTCTCGCCCCGGGCCTCATCCTCAGAGTCGGACGGGCACTCTTCCTGCCAGGCCTCGGGGGGCAGCCCCCTGTAGGAGATCAGCCCCCGGTCCATGGTGTAGACCTTCACCCCCCGGAAGCTGAAGCCTGAGCGCAGCTGCAGGACCAGGAAGATGGTGACAAATATCAGCACGATGAAGACGCAGCTGAGGACAGCTACCACCTCAGGTAGATGAGAGGGCAGGTCGGCTGCAGGCCTTGGCTCAGCCTCCACCTCTGGGCTTAACCCTGGGAGCTGTGGCGGCTGCTCCGGTGGGGACTCTCGGCTGCTCTGGCTCTGCCGGGAGCATGTCTGCTCCACAGGGTCCAGGGAGGCATGGCTGGGGCAGCTGAGGCAGTCTGTGGGGGATGGGCCCTGGCACGTGGCACAGGAGGCGTGGCAGGGAGCACAGACACTGGCCCGGATAGTCTCAATGTCATTCTCGGTGCTGTAGTGGGTATCAAGGACTTGGGGTGTAAAGCCAGGTGGGCAGTGCTGGACACAGGTTTTCTGGTGCAAGGAGAAACCTTCTTCACACACTGCCAGCATGGGAGAGAAGAGACAGTGTCAGCATAAGGGCCATGGCCATAGGGCCACCTCACAACCCACAGCTCAGATCTATGCCAGTGCCACAGACCTGCAGCCCCAGGCACCACCAGGAGTCCTGGGTTCCTTTCTTTCTGTCTCTGTGTGTGGTTCTGGGAACTAAATGCAGGGGCTCTGCATTGAGCTACATCCCCAGCCCTTATTATTTTGAGACAGTCTTGCTACGTTGCCCAAGCTAGGCTCAAACTTGCAGTCCTCCTCCCTCAGCCCCACTCCACCATGCCTAGTAAGTTCCAGGGTCCCTTGAGATGCCTTCTCCTACAGCTGGGCTTTAAGACTATTCCCCCCATCCTGCCCCTACGCCCACATTCTCTACTACTGACCCACGCAGGCCTGGCTGGATGTGAGGGTTTTGCAGCCGCTGCTCTCAGGAGGTGTGGGAAGCCCCTCAGGGGTTGTGCCATATAGTATGAGAGTGAACTTGGTCAGTGTCCCTGTCCCAGATTGGAGGCAGAATCAAGAGTCAGGTTGTGGCAGCAACACACACAGCATCCCAGATCCCACCAACCCACCTCTACGCCTCACATCCTCCACCCCTGGCATCCCTTGAACTCCCATACCGTAGTTGTTGGCCTCACTGGTGTTTTCAACTTCCAAGACCCACTCCCCGGACGGGTCCTCATCCCAAGAATGGGTTGTCATGAAAGCCCAGTCATTAAACCCATCTGCAGAGTAGTCATGTGGCCTGGGGGAGGGGGTGCATACAGCCATCTGTGGTTTGAGGGACCCCCAGGCCAGGGAACCCCCAACCAACACACATGGGCCATGCACTCGTGCCCCCAAGTGGCAGCAACCCTGCTGGACCAGAAATGCCTATTGGCCAGGCTGAGTCCTAGGAGCCAGGTGGCCTCCACCAGGGAACTCTACAGAGAGGTATAAAAGCACTTTGTGTGGGAACACCTACTGCTGAACTCAAAATAGGGAGAAGCCAGGGATTCCTGTGACATTATCTCACACTGTCCCTCTCCAAGGGCCACCAGTGTCTCACTGAATAGCATGACAGGGGAGTCAGGGAGTGTGGGCAATGAGAGGAATGGGGGCTGGTAGGCAGCAGGGGATCAGGGGAACCAAAAGGTGGGCAGGGGACAGGGCCAGCACCTGGCAGCCAGAAGGGTGGAGCGGGTGCCCATGGGGCTGACCAGGTGAATGGCCAGGTCGCCACGGCGGTTGTAGGACAGGGTGAGCCGTGCCTGAGCGTGCTCCAGCCGGGTGATGTGGGTGGGCTCACCCAGACAAGCCGTCACCATTTTGCGTACTTCCAGACGCTTGCCAATGTCCCTGTTCAGAGAGCACTGTGAAGCGGAGTCGCAGGGCACAGAGCGACCAGCACCCCAACCCCAGCAGGTCAAATCCTCACCTGGGCTCAGTGAGGATGTCGATAATGCACTTCCGCTGGGGAGCAACCGTGGTCCAGTTCTGGGCCAGGGCCACCATGGCACCTGCATCCAAGAGCCCATAGCCGTAGGAGTGGCTTACTATGGAGACAGGAAAGGCAGGGTCACAGGGAGGAACACAACACTCCCACTGACCAACCCGCACAGCCACTCCGGGGCCCCTGCCTGCACACCTTTACGGCCTACGCCATTGGTGGCCCAGTCATTGGCATTGAGATGCGCCGGCTTTGAGGTCCGAACTACCAGGTGCTGCATATCCCGCCAGGTGAGGTTTCTACTGCAGGAGAGGAAAGACAGGTGGGGCTCCTCAGGCTTTCTGGAGAGAAGCTGAATCCCAAGGCTGCCCTGCAGGGAGCACAGGGTGGGGGTGGGGGGTGGCGGGGAGACAAGGCTGCCACTGCCCACTTACTTGGCCTCCAGCGTGAGAGCAATGATGCCGGCTGCCAAAGGGGCAGAGGCTGAGGTGCCTGTGTGAGACTCCGTGCACTTCTGCCTCAAGTCAGTGGTGACCTGCCAGGGGACAATGGCATTGGGGCCTGTGATGAAGGGGCCACCTGCCTAGCTTCCCTATGCCTAGCACCTGGGACCCACAGGTGGGACAGTGAGCCAGGGTCAAAGCCACCCTGAGCCCGGCAGCTGCCTCACTGATGTGTTGTGGACATATCGCTGCATGGCCCCTTCCAGGCCTCAGTTCTTTGAGGAATAAGAGGGTCCAGCTGGGGGGTGGACAGCACCGCATGCTTTTAGGGAGAATCTACACTCCTCAAGGGGTTTCACAGAGGGCTCTGTAGCCTCACGGCCTCAGAAGCCCCAGCTCTCATCCGGTGGAATATGGGCTGATCTGGCCACATGGGAGAGGAGGAAACAGACAGGGAGAAAAGGGGCTTCTGAACACGGCGCGCACGCAGCCCCCTCCCCAGCCCGACACAACTCACGATCTGCTTCTCGTTCTGGCTGCCGCTGCTGTAGGTGGCAGCCAGTGTGGACGAGCAGGCCTCACTGTACCAGGGCACGTTGCCAAACTGCGTGGCGCTGCTGATGGACAGCGTGTAGATGCTGTTGGTGTAGCCATCGCAGTTGCAGCTGTCATGTTCCCGGCCCCCGTTCCCTGAGGCCCAGACAAAGATGGAACCCAGTCCTCCACGTCCCTGTGGACAAAGTGCACCCGGGTCACTCAGGATAGGGGCTGGGGAAGGTCCAGCAGGAAGATGGTGCTGGAGAGTCCAGGCTGACCTTGAACTTGTGGTGACCCTCCTACCTCAGCTTCCTGAGTGCTGGGGCTCAAACCCAGGGTGTCCTGCACATAAGGCAAGCCCTCTACCTCTGAGTTATATCCCCAGCCCTCTGCCTTTGATGCTTTTTCTTCACTTTTATTAATTGGACAAGAAGTGCAGACAGGAGGCAGGAACGGCAGGGTCACAGGGAGGAACACAACACTCCCACTGACCAACCCGCACAGCCACTCCGGGGCCCCTGCCTGCACACCTTTACGGCCTACGCCATTGGTGGCCCAGTCATTGGCATTGAGACAGCTCAGGCTGGCTATGCACTTTACTATGTAGCCCAGGCTGGGCAATAACTTTGAATCTTCCTGCCTCAGCTTCCTGAGTGCTGGGATTATAGGTACGTACCATTGTGCCAGGCTCTATAACACTTAAAAACATACTTTGAGGTCCACTGTGGTGGCGCACACCCGTAATCCCAGCATTCTAGGAACCTGAGGCAGGAGAATCCCAAATTCCAGCCTATCCTTGTCAATTTAGTAGCAGCCTATTTCAAGCTTTTTTTTTTTAAAAGGGTTGGGTAAGAGCCTGGATAGCTCAGTCAGTAGAGTAACAGACTTTGGGTTGGGGATCCTGCTCAGTGTGGAGGCCTTGACTTCAATCTATACTACAAAATGAACATGTCTTATGAAAAGTTAAGGGGCTAGGGAGATAGCTCTGTGGAGTAAGTGTTTGCCAGGCAAGCACAAGGTCCTGAGTTTAATTCCTGGTACTACATTAAAAAAAAAAAAAAAAGTTAAGATTAAACAGAAAAATAAAACAAAAAAAAAACACAAGAAAGAGGAGAATACCATGCCAGCAGCCCGAGAGATCAGGCCTGGCTGCAGGGGTGGGCCGCGCCCCCTCACCTGGCTCACCCCCCGGAAGAAGGCCTCCTCAGCCAGGCGGGCTGGCCCATCCACAGTCTTGCCGTCGTCCTCAGGGCCCCAGCTAGCACTATAGATGTGGATGTGGTTGGGGTTCAGGCCCAGTGAGCGTGCCTCCACTGCATCTGTCACCTCGCCATCCAGCATACGCACCCCTGGCCACAGAGCAGGGTGGGAAAAAGGGTGCTGCGTGGGTCCAGCTGCCAGGGCCAACCTGAGGGGCATGCCTGGCCCTCCCCACTAGAAAGCGCTGCGCCTCCAACATCTGCCTCTCCCTTTGCAGCATGAGACCCAAAGGATGCAGAGCACAACAGCTTCTTCCCGAGAAACCCAGGCTCAGGTTCAAAGGGCAGGGGGATGAAGGCTGCCAGTGCAGAGACTCAGAGTGGGTTGTAAGCATTTAGGAGACTCCTGTTAAGGGCCACCCATCCCACCCCACAGCCGCCAAGCCTGGGAAGCCAGCTGAGTCACTCTGAACCCCAATGGAAATATCCATGTTGTCAGAAGGATTCACAGGGGGACAGTGACTGGTGCTGGCCAGATGGGAAGCAGGCAGAGAGAAATCCTGTGGGAAAACCCTCTGGGCCTCCACTGTGGGACAGGGCCCAAGGCCCACACTCACCTCCAATGCGGGCATTATAAGCCACACCCACGCCACAGACACCGTTGTTGGCCACGGCAGCCACTTCACCAGCACACCGTGTGCCATGCCTGCCAAGACCAAGAGCACAGCATTAGTAGTATGGACAAAGCACAACAGATGCGGCAGAAGGGGCAAGAAGGATCAGTATACCCTCTTATCCACACCCAGCACAAGGAAGACAGTGCCACCTCCCTCAGAGCCCCAGCTTGACCAGGACCCTGGACAAAGGTGTGAGCCTCATGGGCAGGGGCATTTGGCACCCAGATTCAGCCCTGCATCACTGGAGGGAGAGCTGGGAGGTAGAGGTCCAGGGATCACCGTTCTAACCTATTGTCATTCATCTGTGTGTACCGAGGCTGGGGGTCAGGATCTTGGTCATTGACATCAAAACTGGCCCCAGGATCCTAGAAAGGACATGGCTGTAGTCAGGAGAAGCCTGACTCACTGACCAAACAGGACACCCCTCACCACCCCTCACCCAGGTGTCTCCCTCCTGTCTCCTCACATAGTTGCCTGCCAAGTCTGGGTGGTTCTTCTCGATGCCATCATCCAGGATGGAGACCACAATGCCACGCCCTGTGTAGCCCTGGGCCCAGGCCTCCTTCACGTTCAGGTCCCTCTGAGTGACACCAGACTGCAGAGACACCACCTCATCACTTAGAAGATGCATTTGGCTGGGTGAGTATAGGACTAAGTTGGAGGATCCCCTCATCACCCCAAAGCCCCTCTGTACCCATCCTGGCTCTAGTGGCACCATTGGTTTTGTGGTCTCCCGGGAAATGCAGAGGCCCTGGGTTGAGGGCAAGACATCAGGAGGAAGTAGGGACATATGGCTCTTAGGAGGACAGCAAAGAAGCCTCACAGCTGGCCCAACCCCCATGGGCTCTCACAGAAGAGGACCAGGGCGAGAAGCAGAATGCAGGCAGTGCCGTACCAGGTACCACTGCTGGGGAAACTTGGGGTCCGTGGGCTCCTGGTAAAGGTCCCGTTTGGTCCGTCGTTTTGCTACCTGCTGCTCTAGCCACCGCACCTGAGAGGGGATAAGGGAAGTGGTACAGGTGAGGGGAGGGCGGGGGAGCAAGAGGAGCAGGGAGAGTGGGCAGCGGAGGTGCAGGCAGGGCGGGTCCAGACTCACTTGAGGCTCCCTCTGCAGACGGTTGTGCCGAGGGCGGTGAGGCGACAGGGACCGCTTTGTCACTGCTCGATGCCAGAAGTGGTAATAGTCGCCGAAGATCTGCAGTGAAGCAGGAGACTGAGATGGGCCTTCCATCTGTCAGTCCCCAGGAGGCGGCAACGGGGGTGGACAGCGGCTGCAAGGGGAGGCTGGCAATGGCAGGGGGTGGGGATATCTGTTCCTGCCCAGGACCAGGAACAAACGTGCAGAAGAGCAAAAGGGGCCTCACCCTCATTGCAACAGGCTACTCATCTGTCAAGCCGTGCTCCCAGGACCCAGAGAAGCTAACCCCAATGCTTTGTGCTTCTTGGTGCCACAATCCTTTCCCTCCCAGGTCACATCCTGCGCCTGCACCAGCAGGCTACCTACCTGGCCCAGGTTGTGGAACCCATGCTTTCTTGCCACACTATCAGCCACGGCCAGGCCTCCAGGGATGTGCACAGCCCACGTGTTAGTGAAGATCTTCTGGCAACGGGCATCAGCGGCCAGCAGGACCAAGGCTCCTGCGGCTGCTACCACCCATAGCAACCAGGGCCTCAGCTCCATGGGGGGCAGGTGGCTGACCGTGGAGCTCCTGCCTCCTTGGCCTGGTCACAGGGCCTTGGCTCCCGTGTGCCCGCTGCTTACTGCCTGTGGCCCGGGGTTGACTGGAGGGGGCATGGGGCTGAGATGGGCAGGGCTAGAGGGTAAGACGAGGGCTGCCAGCTCTGGGGGGAACAAGGAGAGAAAGGGGAGCCAGTCAGTCCCTCCAAACTGGGCATAGGACTGCCCTTCCTAACCTAATAACTCAACACGCCTGCCTAAGGAGCACTGGGGAGACAGGTATAATGAGACAGTTCTCCCCAGAAGAACTGTGGGCCTCCAAGGGCAGACAGACAGACAGACATGTGACCCTTGCACATCTCCAGAGCCTGTCTCCACCAAGAACATAAATGTAACCCTGAAGGGGGCTAAAGAACATCAAAGACTTGAATCGCTCAAAATCAGAAAAGGTCTTGCCAAAATAAAAGTAAAAAAGATGCATTAAAAAAAAGCATTATGTTATAAAGCAGTATGTACACATAATCCCACTTTGTTTTTTTAAAAACTATTTATACATGTATATTTATACATAATCAAAAACAAAATCTGGAAGGACACACGCTAAAATGTTAACAATGGCTCTTTCAAGATGGTGAGAATTGCAAGTAATTATTATTTTCTCCTTTGTGTCTTTGTACGCTTTGCACAATACCTAGGTATATTTTACAGAGGAATAAAACACTGGCTTTTTAAAGTTTTTAAATGAACTCACTAGGGTTTCCTGACTCAGTAAAGGATTCAGCAGAAGGAGTTATCTGTAAAGCCCCACAGCCAGGAAATAGTGGGCAATCTGAGTTGGAGTAGGGCTTGTCGCATAGGGCTCCACAGGAACATGGAGGCTGCCCAGCCCTGCCTGGGAACACCCCCATACCACTTTGCTTGCTCTGTGCCCACCACCTTGCATAACTGGAGCCCGCAGCCAGGGCAAACACTGGCTGCTGAGCTAGGAGCACCAAGGTGAGGCTGAATCAATAGTCCTCATGTTGTTTTTCCTCCTTCAGCAAACAGACAGCGGGACCTCTCTGCCTGGGGCCATATAACTGTCCCCACATAGGGCCTCTGAGTTGCCAGAAGTCAAGCCTCTGGGGTAGGCAGCAGCCGGGAAATCCTCCCCAGTTCCAAGCTCCTAGAGTCACTGTGTGCCTACCCACAGGGCCCAGATGCTCCTACCATTCCCATGGCCCAGCTTCAAAGGAGGACTCTGCCCAATGGTATAGTGAAATTGCCCCAACTCTGTAGGTCCTGGGGAGCCCGGCAGGTGGGCTGAGTTGTCCAGGGACAGCCTTTGACCTCCCTGGCTGCTTTGAGCCCATGCTGCTAGTTGGGGGACTCCACACACCATTCTTGGAGTATTTTCAGTTTACACCAAAATAACTTGACAGCTGATGGCAGGAGACAATCACCAAGTAGCTCTTCCACAACCCTAAGGGACAGCTGTGCAGGGCTCCAGGGTAGGCAGCGAGTGACAGGCCTGACAGCCCTGGGACACCTAAAGTAGCTACAGCCAGCCAGAGCAATGGCTAGGCAGTCTGATGCCCAGGCTCTAGGGGGATGAGGGGATGTCAAGCCCCTATCTAAAGCATGTGGGGTACAGGACCTCTTCTCCCCTTCTTGCCATGTAGCTGCCTTGGGTCAAGCCAAGACCTCTGATCCACAGTGCTGTAGCCCCCACTATGCCTCCAGTCAAGGCTGTGGCCACTTGGATCTGGCCCAAGTCTCAGCACATGCTGGAGCCGCTGCCGTTTGGTGTTAAAGGTGATTAACGAACTATTTAATTACCTTGCAGCACCTAGAAAGAAAGCAAGCTCCAGGCACAACTGAACAGTCTCCCAGGAAAGGCTTGCCCACCTCTATGCTGGGTACCCAGCCATGGGGAGGGGTGGTTTTGGGCTTTCTGAGCCTGGAACATCCCACCACCACCACCGAGCTCTAGCTCAGCTTCCAGTACCCAGGAGGACCCCACACGCAGAAGCAAGAACTAAGAACAATGAATGAATGGACTTCTCTCCACCCCCACCCCAGACTCTGACTCACCCTCTGAGTCCCGGTAGTCTCAAATGGGGAGGCTGGCTGGATTTCCAGCCTCACCATCAGTCTCACATGGCACTCAGCTCCAGGGTGGACCACAGAGAGCTGGGGACTCTGGAGTTGTGTTCCTGAGCAAAGCCTTTTTTCTCCAATCCCAACATCTTCTGATCACAAGCCTCCCCAAGGACCCATTCCAAACTGTACCTATTCGTGGGCCACGGTTTCTCAGGCACGGAGGTCCGGCTGGGACACAGCCACCAGGCAAACCACCTCAGGCCAGTAGGAAGCCCAGTCAGGCTGTCTCTACAGCCACCCTCAGCTGGGTCCTGCTAGAGGGACCAGGAGGCTCTCCTTTGAAAATCTGACTCCTAATTCTTACTCAACTTCTATTTGCTGTGTGATCTTGAACTTCCTCCCCTTGGGACTCAGTTTCCTTGGTGGTAAAAAAAAATGTTACATCAGTGGTTTTCAAACTTTTTTGTAAAGCCACAGAACTGTCTTTAAAAAACAAAAAGTAATTCTCCACGGAAGCCTAATTTAGGAAATATCGTAGTTTAAAACTAGAGCTCTCTGCGTTGACATGGCCAGGCTTGGCTCCACTCTCCCGCCGCGGTGTCCACACTTGGCCCGGCCCTCATTAGGCCACATCTCCTGGGCTCCCTTCAGGCTTCCCACCCCGGCCAGTGAGGGAACCGGAGCACTCTCAGGAACACAGGGGTCTGTCCCCTAGGGGGACGAGCTGGGGGTGGTGGGAGAGTAGGTGCTGTCTGGCCAGCAGGCGGCTCCTAGACCGGCCGCCCCACGCCAGGCCTCGGGGACCCACCTGGGCCCGCGGTCCCCCGCGGCCCGCACCTGGGCGCTCTTCCCGCACAGGTGTGCGGCAGGGGCGCGGGGGCAGGCAGGGCGGGCCGTCCCGGGTGCCCCTCCCCGGCGCTGCGGCTCGAG